CGGCTCTTGGGTTTGCTCCCTCTACTGCTGACCCGTCGTTGTTTCTGCGCACCGACACTTCTTTGCCGCCGTTCTACATCCTCGTGTACGTCGACGACTTGGTCTTTGCCACAGCTGACACTGCTGGACTAGCCTACGTGAAGTCCGAGCTGCAGAAGAGACACACGTGCACAGACCTGGGTGAACTGCGCAGCTACCTTGGCTTGCAGATCACTCGGGACAGAGCACGCCGCACCATTACCTTGACTCAGTCACACATGGTGCAGCAGGTCCTTCAGCGCTTCGGCTTCACGTACTCCTCGCCTCAGGCCACTCCTCTGTCTACTCGCCACTCGCTCTCAGCTCTGCCTTCGGATGAGTCCGTAGAGTCGAGTGGCCCGTACCCAGAGCTTGTTGGTTGCCTCATGTACCTGATGACCTGCACACGACCTGACCTTGCATACCCTCTTAGCATTCTTGCACGCTATGTTGCTCCTGGGAGACACCGACCAGAGCACATGGCTGCAGCGAAGAGGGTGTTGCGCTACTTGTGCAGTACGTCGGGCATGGGGCTAGTGCTTGGAGGGCGGAGTCCAGTGGTCCTCACTGGGCACGCGGACGCTTCTTGGGCTGACGACCAGGCTACGCAGCGGTCGTCGCAGGGTTACACCTTCAGTCTTGGTTCCGGCTCTGTCTCGTGGCGGGCTACACGCTCGTCCTCTGTTCTCGGCTCCAGTTGTGAGGCTGAGATCTACGCCGGGGCCATGGCTGCACAGGAGCTTCGCTGGCTCACCTACCTGCTGACTGACCTTGGAGAGCCGCCTCGTTCTCCTCCAGTGCTGTACGTAGACAACAAGGCCATGCTGGCCTTGTGTCGAGAGCAGCGCTTGGAGCACAGAACGAAGCACATTGCTCTCCGTTACTTTCTTGCTCGTGAGCTGCAGCAGCGTGGTCAGTTGCGACTTGCGTACGTGGCCTCTGAGGCCAACACTGCTGATGTGTTCACCAAGGCACTTGCGCCTTGTGACCATCAGCGCTTCTGCACTCAGCTGGGTCTTGTACCTGTCTTGCCTCACTTGCTCTCCTCTTGACCTTGCTTGTACTGTCACATATATATACCTGCTCTTGCTTGTCTAGCTCTATATATATATGTGTGCACTCCTGCATGTGAACTGGCCTTGTGGCCTTGTCGTTGTGCTCGGACTGTGTGGTGACTTTGTGATCCACCCTGAGCTTGCTGTGCTTTGTATGACTGGTCTTGTGACCCCTTGTTCTCCCCCACTTTGCCTATGGGGGTGTGTCAGAACATATATATAGCTTATGCTGTTGTGTAGGCTATAGTGGGGTATCCCATAGGGGGTACAACCCAATTAGGGTTTCCTATATGTACTCACTTCATTCATAGTTCATTGATTCGCTTTCCTCCTTTTCTCAGAGACAAACTACAGAGGAACAATGGCGAGTCAACCATCGGAGGTTGACAAGAGAAGTAACTGCTGGAGGTTACGCGAAGGTCAAAGGTCAGCAACCTTTGACTTAACAAATACAGCGTGACAGCAAGGACAAACAACTGACTCGCTATTGAGCAGTTGCCCGAGTCGTCACTGTATCAAACCGCAACAGCAACAGTAAAACGGTTATTAGCTGCATCTTTTCATATTCCTTGTACTCTTATAAAACCTTGTATCTTCTTGCTTTAATCAATCTATCTTGCCCTCACATACCAGCGCAAGGTGGTTCAACACTTGTTACTAAACGCTTCCGCAAATACAACACTTCTACTCAGAATTTAGCCTTGAAAGATCCTAAGGGCTTTTCTCAGCCCAACACGGAACACGTGACTGCGGCCAACGCACGTACTGCACTGAAGGAATCCTCGGCACTTGCGTGATGATCACGATCTGACAAATTTCGGGGAAAAGCGGGGGGGGGGGGGGGGAGGGGGGGAAGGAGGGGTTGCGTACGCTCTTCAGTGTAATCTTCGCTAAGGGAAAATTTACCCCAAGGCATCAGTGTGGCCTACGACGATACACTTACAGATCAGTGTAACACTAACTCACCAAAAATTTACCCCAGCATATCAGTGTAGACCCAAAATTTCACCCTTGTAATCAGTATAGAAGGGTAAATTACACTGCAAACCTGAGCCCTACACGGAACGCAATATCGAAGTTGTGATTACAACTACCGTTTGAATAATGAACAAAATGCTAGCTGTTGGAAACAACTAATTCTAAGCGCCTCTGTCGTGTCGAACACCAAGGCACAAGCGAAGCACAACATATCGCAGCATCAGCGAGTCAACCCTCGGAGGTTGAGCAACTGCTGGAGGTTACGCGAAAGTCAAAGGTCAGCGACCTATGACCTGACAAGTACAGCGCGACAGCAAGGACACACAACTGACTCGCTACAGAGCAATGCCCGAGTCGTCACTGTATCGAACCGCAACAGCAACAGTAAAGTAGTTATAACTGTATCCCTTCGTATTCCTTGTACTCTTATATAATCCTGTATCTCCTTGCTTTAATCAATCAACTTTTGCCCTCACATACTAGCGCAAGGTGGTTCACAACTCTTCATTAAAATGCTTCCGCTATCACATCAGTTACACCCAGAGTTCACCCCTGCAAAGATCCTAAGGGCTTTTTCTCAGCCCAACACTAGCTAGGCTGGGTCTTCAGGGCCGCGAAGGATGGTTGCTGGTTCAAGTTTGTCAAACCCGAAAGCGACACGAAGTATGATTGGAAGGCGAGGTCATCGGACCGAGCCTGGGACTTTGAAAGTTGGAGTTGTTTGTGTACGGGAGTGACCGACAAAGGATTCATGAAATTTCCTTACAAAGTGAGTTGTTAGTAACAATGGGTCCAAGTGTTCTGCAGGAAGCCTGGTCTGCCCAAGTCAAGCTGTTTGGTTCGAGCACAACACGAAGCCAACGGACATATGCCAGACCAGGGTGAATGGAATCTCGGTTTGGGGTTGGGTTGGAGAATCTTGCCTGCTGCCCGCTGTACGACATCGCCTGGAGCTGACGACAAAAGGGTGACGGAACCTTGGTTGGGATTCGTGCGATAGTTGCCGAAATGCCCAATGTTGACTCTGCACCAGCATCCTGTTCGACAGGCGTGTAGTTCACTGCACCATGAACTTTCCACAGTGAACGTATCTCGCGCAAAGCCAGACTCCGTCAAGATGACCGAAAATCGTTATCGTTTCCGTCTCCCAGGCTCGTTCGTTCGCACTTGCGAAGAACCAAAAGACCTCCGTTCCACATCAGGGAAAGGGATGTATCACAGGAACAAGTGCACTCTGATTGGTGCAGACGTGCATGACTTGAAAGTCGCGAGCTGGATCCAGATTTCAGAAACGAGCAGCCATCCCTGGCCATAGTTGAGCTAGGCTACACACGTGGTGTACTTGGTGAGTTGGGAGCCACGATTGAGAATGGTCGCCACGGGTCGCTAGGAATTAGTTGCGACGTCGCTGCGATGGGATGCTTCATCTGCTTGAGAAGCGTGCGATCCACAGTCCCCTTCGCCACCGTCGTGTAGCCTCAGCCTCGCCGTGCTTTGAGTCGTGATGCGACGCCGGCGAGCTCAATGGCTGCTTCACCTTGGCTGCTCCGTTTGCAACCCTATTCAGGTTTCTTGCAAGCGACAGGTCGAATCTTGTTCTCATTAGACCGCTTGAAGTAGGCTCCAACTGTTGCACACGACCGTGTGAAGTCCGCTCGCGACAGAGAACAACTAAAGTCGGTAAACTAGGGTTTCAACGCAGGGATGTGCCCAGCTCCTGTTCTCAAGTTCATCCTTTGCCGGATGTCGCGGACGTGATCAGCCACACTTCGCCGTTTTCGCTGCAGATTCTGTTACCAGCTTTCCCGCTCCTCCTAGGTCCATGCGCAGCATGTCTAGTGACGGTACATAGTCCCCGCTTATTCTGAATCAAGTTCCCCGAACGTCCTTTCTAGAGTAGGCGTTCGTCGGATAAACCTACGATGTTTGGTCTTGATTTGAGAGGCCACCATGCTGACGCATAGTGCAACGCGTCGTCGTACAGGAACGTCGCCCGCGGCGTCGTTCCATCGCACGGCGACGAATGCTGCCTCGTCGTTTTGTCGCTCAGCGAAGCTGTTGCCGTCGCGTCGTCGCACAGCGACTCCACAGGCTCTAGTTCCGCTCGTGCTGCCGCTGCTGCTGCTCTCCGCGTGGCCCGTTCCCCTCTCGCGGTGCGACAGCGATGGCTCAGCAGCATCGCGGAAACATCCGCAGCAGGTAGTGCCTCACTCACACACACACCCCTCTTACACATACCACTCTCTCACGCACGCCCTTTTCACACCGTAAAAGCAGTGTAATTCGCCTGCGCCATTGCGTCCCGCGGTGCGACAAAGGTGGTAGCTGTGGGGTCGCGGAAGATCATGACACAGCCGGCAATACGTTGGACCTTATCCCCCATTCAGGCCAGGAATCGCAATAAGAGTTCATCTGAATCGGATTTGATTCGTCGACTGTAGTGCAATAGAAGCAAGCCTGAATGCTACATAAGTGAGGCCGCTTTCTACGCACGCAGAACTGCTGCACTGCTGCTGTGTTCTTTCCCCTGCACCTCTATCGTATGCTGGCGTGGTCCAATTCAATTCCCTCATGGTCCAGTTCAATTCCCTCATGGTCCAATTCAATTCCCTCATGGTCCAGTTCAATTCCCTCATGGTCCAGTTCAATTCCCTCATGGTCCAGTCAAATCCTGTTATTGTCGCCACATTGATTCCCTGAGCCCACCGCGTCTTCGTCCACCTCCAGGTGCATGAGCGGCGGGTGTTGGAGCAGATGAGCGCGTGGGGCCATGTGCGACTCACCGACGTTGCAAAAGCGCCAACAACAGTGGAGACGGCAGCACAGGGAGGAGCACCAGCAGCAGCGGCCGTTGAAGCACTTACCTCAGAAGTAGTAACAACCGCAACAGCAGCAGCAGCAGCAGCAGCAAGAGGAGCGCCGTCCGTGCGATCCCAGGCGTCGCCTTCAATGCCGTCAGATTCGCCGCAGCCTCGATTCTTCCGCCAGCTGATGGCACAGGGCCACTCGCCTGAGGGCGTGTACCTTCCCGTCAAGCAGGCCATTCCAGAAGAAACCGAGGATGCTAATAACGGACATGCTGAGAGAGATGGTTTCAGGCAACGCGCTGACGAGGACGGCCAATCACGGCTCTTGCACGGCCTGCCGTGGGCCCCACCAGCAGGCGGGCGGCGCAGGCTGCTGGGTCTGGGCGACGTGCAGTACCCCCTGGATGGTTACTTCCTCAGCAAATCCGGGTAAGCGGGAGGTGGTGAGCGAGGGGTGGTGAGAGAGGAGTGGTGAGCGAGGGGTGGTGAGAGAGGAGTGGTGAGCGAGGGGTGGTGAGAGAGGAGTGGTGAGCGAGGGGTGGTGAGAGAGGAGTGGTGAGCGAGGGGTGGTGAGAAAGGGTGAGAGGGGCAGGGTGGTTTTTGAGCGGAATCATATGTCACCTTCACCTCGCAGGCTGCTGGGCCTGGGCGTGCAGTACCCCTTTGATGGCTACTTTCTCAGCAAATCCGGGTGAGTGAGGGGTGAGAGAGGGGTGAGAGAGGGGTGAGAGAGGGGTGAGAGAGGGGTGGGAGAGGGGTGAGAGGGGGGTGAGAGAGGGGTGAGAGAGGGGTGAGAGGGGGGTGAGAGAGGGGTGAGAGAGGGGTGAGAGAGGGGTGAGAGCGGGGGTGAGAGAAGGGGTCGAAAGGGGCGGGTGAGTGAACCTGCAGGCAGCCACAGCCACTCATTCGACCTCTAAGGCGGCTTAATTCTCCTCTTCCCTCTGCCTCCCCTGCCCTTGCGAGCAGCCTATACTACGTGCAGGTGCAGCTGGGGTGGCAGAGGCAGCCCGTGAACCTGCAGGTGGACACGGGCAGCGACCTGCTGTGGACGCGCTGCGTCTGCCCCTCCTGCCCGCCGCCTCACTCCGCCGCCAACCACACCCGGGTGGGTGTTTGTGGCATGCTGTGCCAGGTGTTGGATACATATTGAGTAGCTTTTAGATAGCTGTTTCAGTTTCTTTCTTTCTGTCTTTCTTTCTGTTTTCTCATTTCGTTGCTAGTCCTTGCAAAGGCATGCATGCATCACCACAACCCTCGCGCCATTCGTTTGCGCCAAGTTCACTCTCCATCTCACGCAATGCAAACCCCCCCCCCCCCCCCCCCCCCCCCCCGTCAGCAGGCTGCAGGCGGACAGCAATCTCCCAGCGCCCCTTCCCCGGCTCCGCCACCAGGCCGCTCCCCCTCCACGCCCCCCTCGCCCCCCCCGGTGGTCCCTCCCTCATCCGCATCGCTCAACCGTGCCACCAACATGGCAAGAGACCCACCTGCTGCTGCTGCCCATGCTGATGCCCATGCACACGCACATGGGGATGCAGTAGCGGCGTCAGAGGAAGGGCCGGGGCAAGGGCTGGTTGCTGGGGCGCACATAGCACTGCAGGTGGATGCCTCACAGCGCCCGGCCCCGTTACAGTCACACTCGCTTGACGAGCCGTCCCACACACACGCACAAGCTCAGGCACAAGCACAAGCACAAGCAGAGGGAGACGCAAGGCGGGTGGTTACTGCAGCAGGGGCCGGGAGTGCCGGGAACAAGGGTGCATATGCTGGGGGAGGTGGGGCAGAGGGGGTAGGCGGAGAGGAGGAGCGGTGGGACGAAGAAGCTGGGCAGCTGGCGGTGCCTCGAGATTCGCTCATGCGCGGCGCAGCAGACGGCGGTGGTGAGGGCAGTGACTGGCCCGTGGTCCCTGAGTCACAGGCAGGGCAGCAGCGGCTCAGCCTTGCCGCCGTGGGCGATGGAGGTGCGGCAGGATCGATGCGGTCTGCCAGTGTGGAATCATCATCACCATCGCCACCATTACCATTTGAAGCACAGGCAGCAGCGACAACGCCAGGTTCAGCACCACCATCACCACCACCACCACCACCACCACCATCACGACCACAACCACCACTGGCAGCAGCAGCATCACCGCCATCAGAGGCAGCAGGGGAGGCGGCGAGCAAGGTGCAGGAGCTGGCGGGCGAGCAGCTGGTGTACTGGGCCGGCAACTCCAGCAGCCTGGGCGGTGGCGCTTGTACCGACGCCCCCTGCACTGCGCTCACCCAGCAGTACGCGCTGGAGATGCCTGTGGGCTGCCAGGTGCGTGCGAGAGAGAGGGAGAGGGAACGGGGGAGGGGAACGGAAAGGGGGAGCTCAGAGTGTGCCAGCAATACGCCCGAGAGGGAGGAAAAGGGGAAAAGAAGGGGAGGGGAAGAGGGGAATGGAAAGGAGGAACCCTTTACTGCGCCCACCCAGCAATACGCGCTGGAGATTCCTGTGGGCTGCCATGTGCGTGGGAGATTGGTGAGGGAAAGGGAGAGGGTGAGGGAGAGGGAAAGGGAGAGGGTGAGGGAAAGGGAGAGGATGAGGGAGAGGGAAAGGGAGAGGGTGAGGGAGAGGGAAAGGGAGAGGGTGAGGGAGAAGGAAAGGGAAAGGGAGAGGGAGAGCCAAGCAGTGTGCCCTCGCTCACCCAGCAGTACGCGCTGGAGATGCCCGTTGGCAGGGAGGTGTGTGCTTGGCATGGGCGGTGCATGTGCGCATGTGTGCTGTCCGTGTTGCAATTGGGGGAGGGAGAGGGCAGAAGTGCATGTGCACTCCCTCTCACTTTGCCCAGACGGGTCGGCAGCATCCACACCAGTGTCCACACCAGCATCCACACCAGTGTCCACACCAGCATCCACACCAGTGTCCACACCAGCATCCACACCAGTGTCCACACCAGCATCCACACCAGCATCCACACCAGCATCCACACCAGCATCCACACCAGCATCCACACCAGTGTCCACACCAGTGTCCACACCAGTGTCCACACCAGTGTCCACACCAGCATCCACACCAGTGTCCACACCAGCATCCACACCAGCATCCACACCAGCATCCACACCAGCATCCACACCAGCATCCACACCAGTGTCCACACCAGTGTCCACACCAGTGTCCACACCAGTGTCCACACCAGTGTCCACACCAGTGTCCACACCAGCATCCACACCAGCATCCACACCAGTGTCCACACCAGTGTCCACACCAGTGTCCACACCAGTGTCCACACCAGTGTCCACACCAGTGTCCACACCAGTGTCCACACCAGTGTCCACACCAGTGTCCACACCAGTGTCCACACCAGTGTCCACACCAGTGTCCACACCAGCATCCACACCAGCATCCACACCAGTGTCCACACCAGTGTCCACACCAGTGTCCACACCAGCATCCACACCAGCATCCACACCAGTGTCCACACCAGTGTCCACACCAGTGTCCACACCAGTGTCCACACCAGTGTCCACACCAGTGTCCACACCAGTGTCCACACCAGTGTCCACACCAGCATCCACACCAGCATCCACACCAGCATCCACACCAGCATCCACACCAGTGTCCACACCAGCGTCCACACCAGTGTCCACACCAGTGTCCACACCAGTGTCCACACCAGTGTCCACACCAGTGTCCACACCAGCATCCACACCAGCATACACACCAGTGTCCACACCAGCATCCACACCAGCATCCACACCAGTGTCCACACCAGTGTCCACACCAGTGTCCACACCAGTGTCCACACCAGCATCCACACCAGTGTCCACACCAGCATCCACACCAGTGTCCACACCAGCATCCACACCAGTGTCCACACCAGCATCCACACCAGCATCCACACCAGCATCCACACCAGCATCCACACCAGCATCCACACCAGTGTCCACACCAGTGTCCACACCAGCATCCACACCAGTGTCCACACCAGCATCCACACCAGTGTCCACACCAGCATCCACACCAGCATCCACACCAGCATCCACACCAGCATCCACACCAGCATCCACACCAGTGTCCACACCAGTGTCCACACCAGTGTCCACACCAGTGTCCACACCAGTGTCCACACCAGTGTCCACACCAGCATCCACACCAGCATCCACACCAGTGTCCACACCAGCATCCACACCAGCATCCACACCAGTGTCCACACCAGTGTCCACACCAGTGTCCACACCAGCATCCACACCAGTGTCCACACCAGTGTCCACACCAGCATCCACACCAGTGTCCACACCAGCATCCACACCAGTGTCCACACCAGCATCCACACCAGCATCCACACCAGCATCCACACCAGCATCCACACCAGTGTCCACACCAGTGTCCACACCAGTGTCCACACCAGCATCCACACCAGTGTCCACACCAGCATCCACACCAGCATCCACACCAGCATCCACACCAGCATCCACACCAGTGTCCACACCAGTGTCCACACCAGTGTCCACACCAGTGTCCACACCAGTGTCCACACCAGTGTCCACACCAGCATCCACACCAGCATCCACACCAGTGTCCACACCAGCATCCACACCAGCATCCACACCAGTGTCCACACCAGTGTCCACACCAGTGTCCACACCAGCATCCACACCAGTGTCCACACCAGTGTCCACACCAGCATCCACACCAGTGTCCACACCAGCATCCACACCAGTGTCCACACCAGCATCCACACCAGTGTCCACACCAGCATCCACACCAGTGTCCACACCAGCATCCACACCAGCATCCACACCAGCATCCACACCAGCATCCACACCAGCATCCACACCAGTGTCCACACCAGTGTCCACACCAGTGTCCACACCAGTGTCCACACCAGCATCCACACCAGTGTCCACACCAGCATCCACACCAGCATCCACACCAGCATCCACACCAGCATCCACACCAGCATCCACACCAGTGTCCACACCAGTGTCCACACCAGTGTCCACACCAGTGTCCACACCAGTGTCCACACCAGTGTCCACACCAGCATCCACACCAGCATCCACACCAGTGTCCACACCAGTGTCCACACCAGTGTCCACACCAGTGTCCACACCAGTGTCCACACCAGTGTCCACACCAGTGTCCACACCAGTGTCCACACCAGTGTCCACACCAGTGTCCACACCAGCATCCACACCAGCATCCACACCAGTGTCCACACCAGTGTCCACACCAGTGTCCACACCAGCATCCACACCAGCATCCACACCAGTGTCCACACCAGTGTCCACACCAGTGTCCACACCAGTGTCCACACCAGTGTCCACACCAGTGTCCACACCAGTGTCCACACCAGTGTCCACACCAGCATCCACACCAGCATCCACACCAGCATCCACACCAGCATCCACACCAGTGTCCACACCAGCGTCCACACCAGTGTCCACACCAGTGTCCACACCAGTGTCCACACCAGTGTCCACACCAGTGTCCACACCAGCATCCACACCAGCATACACACCAGTGTCCACACCAGCATCCACACCAGCATCCACACCAGTGTCCACACCAGTGTCCACACCAGTGTCCACACCAGTGTCCACACCAGCATCCACACCAGTGTCCACACCAGCATCCACACCAGTGTCCACACCAGCATCCACACCAGTGTCCACACCAGCATCCACACCAGCATCCACACCAGCATCCACACCAGCATCCACACCAGCATCCACACCAGTGTCCACACCAGTGTCCACACCAGCATCCACACCAGTGTCCACACCAGCATCCACACCAGTGTCCACACCAGCATCCACACCAGCATCCACACCAGCATCCACACCAGCATCCACACCAGCATCCACACCAGTGTCCACACCAGTGTCCACACCAGTGTCCACACCAGTGTCCACACCAGTGTCCACACCAGTGTCCACACCAGCATCCACACCAGCATCCACACCAGTGTCCACACCAGCATCCACACCAGCATCCACACCAGTGTCCACACCAGTGTCCACACCAGTGTCCACACCAGCATCCACACCAGTGTCCACACCAGTGTCCACACCAGCATCCACACCAGTGTCCACACCAGCATCCACACCAGTGTCCACACCAGCATCCACACCAGCATCCACACCAGCATCCACACCAGCATCCACACCAGTGTCCACACCAGTGTCCACACCAGTGTCCACACCAGCATCCACACCAGTGTCCACACCAGCATCCACACCAGCATCCACACCAGCATCCACACCAGCATCCACACCAGTGTCCACACCAGTGTCCACACCAGTGTCCACACCAGTGTCCACACCAGTGTCCACACCAGTGTCCACACCAGCATCCACACCAGCATCCACACCAGTGTCCACACCAGCATCCACACCAGCATCCACACCAGTGTCCACACCAGTGTCCACACCAGTGTCCACACCAGCATCCACACCAGTGTCCACACCAGTGTCCACACCAGCATCCACACCAGTGTCCACACCAGCATCCACACCAGTGTCCACACCAGCATCCACACCAGCATCCACACCAGCATCCACACCAGCATCCACACCAGTGTCCACACCAGTGTCCACACCAGTGTCCACACCAGCATCCACACCAGTGTCCACACCAGCATCCACACCAGCATCCACACCAGCATCCACACCAGCATCCACACCAGCATCCACACCAGTGTCCACACCAGTGTCCACACCAGCATCCACACCAGCATCCACACCAGCATCCACACCAGCATCCACACCAGCATCCACACCAGTGTCCACACCAGTGTCCACACCAGCATCCACACCAGTGTCCACACCAGCATCCACACCAGCATCCACACCAGCATCCACACCAGCATCCACACCAGCATCCACACCAGTGTCCACACCAGTGTCCACACCAGTGTCCACACCAGTGTCCACACCAGTGTCCACACCAGTGTCCACACCAGCATCCACACCAGCATCCACACCAGTGTCCACACCAGTGTCCACACCAGTGTCCACACCAGCATCCACACCAGTGTCCACACCAGTGTCCACACCAGCATCCACACCAGTGTCCACACCAGCATCCACACCAGTGTCCACACCAGCATCCACACCAGCATCCACACCAGCATCCACACCAGCATCCACACCAGCATCCACACCAGTGTCCACACCAGTGTCCACACCAGCATCCACACCAGTGTCCACACCAGCATCCACACCAGCATCCACACCAGCATCCACACCAGCATCCACACCAGCATCCACACCAGCATCCACACCAGTGTCCACACCAGCATCCACACCAGCATCCACACCAGCATCCACACC